GTTACTTATGGAATAAACCAGTAGGATTAGGTTACTTATGGAATAAACCAGTAGGATTAGGTTAATTATGTAGTAGCCCAGTAGGACTAGGATACTTATGTTGTAGCCCAGTAGGATTAGGTTAATTATGTAGTAGCCCAGTAAAATGTGGTTACTTATGGAATAAACCAGTAGGATTAGGTTAATTATGTAGTAGCCCAGTAGGATTAGGTTAATTATGTAGTAGCCCAGTAGGATTAGGTTAATTATGTAGCCCAGTAAAACGTGGTTACTTATGGAATAAACCAGCAGGTCTAGGATACTTATGTAGTAGCCCAGTAGGATTCGGTTAATTATGTAGTAGCCCAGTAGGTCTACGACATTTATGTACTAGTCTAGTAGGACTAGGTTACTTATATATTAGCCAAGTAGGACTAGTTAATTATGTAGTACCATAAAAGAATAGGTTACTTATGTAGTAACCCAGTAGGATTAGTTTACTTATGCAGTAGCCCAGTAGGATTCGTTAGTTATATAGTAACACAGTAGAATTAATTTACTTGTACTAACACAGTAGGACTAGGTTACTTATGTAGTAGCCCAGTAGGCTTAGTTAGTTATGTAGTAGCCCAGTAGGCCTAGTTAGTTATTTAGCAGCCGAGGAGGTCTAGTTTGTTATGTAGTAGCCCAGTAGGCCTAGTTAGCTATGTAGCACCCCAGTAGGTCTAGTTAGTTATGTAGTAGCCCAGTAGGACTATTTAGTTATGTAGCAGCTCAGTAGGTCTAGTTAGTTATGTAGTAACCCAGTAGCATTAGATTACTTATGTAGTAGCCCAGTAGGACTAGATTACTTATGAAGTATCCCAGTAGGCCTAGTTAGTTATGTAGTAACTCAGTAGGACTAATTAGTTATGTAGCACCCCAGTAGGACTAGTTAGTTATGTAGCACCCCAGTAGGACTAGTTAGTTATGTAGCACCCCAGTAGGACTAGTTAGTTATGTAGCACCCCAGTAGGACTAGTTAGTTATGTAGTAGCCCAGTAGGTCTAGTTAGTTATGTAGTAGCCCAGTAGGACTAGATTACTTATGAAGTATCCCAGTAGGTCTAGTTAGTTATGTAGTAACTCAGTAGGACTAGTTACTTATGTATTAATACTGTAGGGCTAATTTACTTATGTAATAGCCCAGTAGAACTGGTTTCGTTATAGGATAACTCGGTATAAGAAATTCCTTATGTGGTAAATAAGTAGGGGCTAGTTTCCTTATGTGATGACTCAGTAGGACTAGTTTCTTTATGTGCTGACCCAGTAGGACTGGTTTCTTTATGTAATAACCCAGTAGGAATAGGTTCTTATGTGATGACTTCATGAGACTAGTTTATTATGTAATAACCCAATAGGATTAGTTTCTATATGTAATAACCCAGTAGGACTAGTTTCTATATGTAATAACCCAGTAGGACTAGTTTCTATATGTAATAACCCAGCAGGACTAGTTTCTTTATGTGATGACCCAGTAGGACTAGTTTCTTTATGTGCTGACCCAGTAGGACTGGTTTTTTTATGTAATAACCCAGTAGGACTAGGTTCTTATGTGATGACTTCATGAGACTAGTTTATTATGTAATAACCCAATAGGATTAGTTTCTATATGTAATAACCCAGTAGGACTAGTTTCTATATGTAATAACCCAGCAGGACTAGTTTCCTTATGTGATGACACAGTGGGAGCAGTCCTTATGTAATAATCATTATAATCATTTACTTAAAATAAGTAGGTTAAAAAAGTGTAGAAATATATTTTTATAAGTTATCCACATAAAGTAATTTTACATTTATGATTTAATTGAGACAGAAAAGTTGATTCGGGCCCGAGTTTTATAATTTGTCATTCCATCAAAAAGATTTGAATATGACGATTATCTATGTAATTTTGAACAGCTGTTTCAGCAATTATCAATAAGCAATGAACCTTTTAATAACAACAGAACTTTCCAACGATGTTGTATGTAGTTCCTTCTGTTTGAACTACTAAGATAGAAGATTCTTAATGGTGTAAGATAAATAACATATTTTTCTAATGTCACATTGTCTTCAAAAATTCTGTTACTTTTCGTTTGCTTGTTGTGAGTGATGAAAATAAATTTGTCCTAAAGTAAATAATATCTCTGAATTATGTAAGAGAATCTGGTTTATCTATACTGGTGATAGAAAAACCAGGAATAATATTCTTATGAAGTTATCGTGATATTAAAGTCTGGTAAAATGGGACTTTACAGATTATTATCCTTTTTAACAAGTCTTCGTAATATTAAAAGCTTAAAAGGGAGCATAACTGAATATTGTCCTTATCTTGGTATAAGAACTTAGTAGTGTGAAGAAAAACAAATGATGATTGAATAGAAAAACCCAAACACTCGTTCAAAAGCGCAGAGTATAAAATCTGTGTAGTTTTACCAGTGCACACCATGTCTTTATAGCTTTTTATTATAAATATTCATCATAATATCTCTTTTAACGGTGACGAATAATAACACCACGAGAAGCGAGGTGTATAATATTGGCAATTGTGGCGCCATCTGTAATTGTTCGAATGTTTTATTTTCTGAAAATTTAGCTTTATTACACGTACGATCATATTTTAATTAACTTGTAAAATGTCAAAAATAAAACACAACTAGTAATACTATTACATGAACATGCAGATTGGCTCACAGATAAGGAAAACACAAAGGAAGAGCAATAAGACAAAAATCTAGGCCTTTCGAGAAATTTCCTTTATTGAAACCGTTAACTTAGTTGATTAATTTGTTCTGAACGTAAGAAAAATGATGCTGAGTAACTTTTGTATTGACTGATAAGTCAAGAAGTATGCTTATAATGAAAGTATTTTTTATTTTTCCTTGGAGCTCACAAAAAATCCGGGAAGTCTTAGTAGCTTGTTTCATCACCGTAAGAAACAAGGCAAAGATAATAATCTAACTACTGGTAGGACTATATTTACTAAGCCTGGTGTCACAGTATTTACTAAACTTAGTTTGACAGTTATTATTAGTCCTAGTGTTACTGTATTTATAAGCCTGGTATGACAATGTCTACTAAACCTAATGTGACAGTATTTACTAAGCCTAGTGTTACAGTACTTACGAAACCTAGTGTTACTGTATTCACTAAGCTTTGTGTGCCAGTATTTACTAAGCCTGGTATGAAAGTATTTAATAAACTTGGTTTGACAGTATTTACTAAGCCTAGAGTGACAGTATTTAGTAAGCCTGATATGGCAGTATTTACTAAGCCTTGTGTGACAGTATTTACTAAGCCTGGTATGAAAGTATTTAATAAACTTGGTTTGAC